TGTTTCAACAAAGAGAGAGATGAGATGCATATAGTGGTAGATATTGCTCAGGAGAGAAAAGTGGTCGCACACTCGTGTATTCCGGTTTGAAAGTTTGCAGTTTCAGTAAATGTTTTATCTCTTGAGATTAAAATCCTTTTTCACTGACTCATTCCCATGATAACTTACTTTTGAAGATGTGTCCTCCGAGGAAGTTACACATGGAATGAGGCACAGTTTTTAAATAAAATCTAATTAAGAAGTTATTGATGCTGATATATTTTTTTTCATTTGCAATTAAAACAGATTAACATGTGCGTAAGCACTGAATTATCCAGATGAAGATTCAATGATTCCACACTACATCAGAGAAGAAACCTGTAAGATGAAACAAGGTGTATGAATTTTCGTTTGAATGAGGAGTTTTATTGGAACCGGGGACTTAACTTAATTTAAATATTGTAGCAGTCTCATTGTGTCGATTTGTTTTTGGGAATATTTATTTTAAGACGTAGCATAGGGAGAAACCTTTAGAACAAAATGAGATATTCGGATAAACGACGCAGCCTAACCAGGCTGAATTAATGCCATGCGTTTCTTTCAGTTTATTAATTTTTTTAAAGATTTGTTTCACCACTTTGGACATGAAGGAATATCATTATGGAAATCTAAGAGCAGGCAATCGCTACCTTATCACGACTAAGAAAATAAGAAAATTCAAATTCGGTAAATGAAGCATACTTGCGTATCAGGTACTGTACCCGATGGCGCTTAGTTAAGACATTTACATTGGATTTCATATAGTTTATTTTTTTAAATCAGAATTTCCCCTTCGTAAAGAGGTAGATATTTAAAGCCAAGGTATTTCACACTGTTTGCAGTTGTCACTAATGTTTTGAAAATCGGACCCCTAGACATGTCAACATGGTCAAAATTTATAGTTCTTTCGTGATATCTGAATATTGTTAAAATTTAGTAACAGCTTTTATATATACGAGCGAATAGTTTTACTTGATTTGTCGTCTCTGTGCCAGTTGCTTTAGGATAGCCATGAACTGCTGTTAATAGTTGAAGTGTTTAGCAGGTTCCAAGCCTTCTGCTTAACAGCTTTGTCGCGTATTAAGATACCACTGAAAACAATAGATGATTGACCACTACTAGGGATTATTGGCTTTTTAATTTTAACATTTTAATTCTTGATCGTGAATCGTAATTTTGGTTTTATTTTAAATCAATGGATTTCAATTCATATATATAGTTTATTGTGCTGATCGTTTGCAGAGATTCACCGATCTTAATGGACCCAAACCGTTGGTAGCCCGTGGAGTCACCAAAATGTCGTAATGAGATTATCTTCAGGCAGAATGTTACTATTGTCTGTGATAAGTTCGTTAGATTTTTCTAATCACCTCTGAGGACACGCTGGAGTAATGTAGAAGTTATTTTATAAAATTTTTAGACAAAAGGTGTAACTCTTTTTTGCAACCTACGAACAGATATTTTAAGAGAAAAACATTTGCAATCCGTGCACCATTTGTAATTGATGTGTGTCTTGGTACCACCTCAATACATATTAAGTTATGGACCTTTTATGAAACACCGTCTTCCGAGATGTCTTTTTTCAAATACAGGTTTTCTCGGCAGCAGTGTTTTTGCTTTAGTTCGGTTAAAGTTGAGTTGTCATCCACATAGTTAAAAATGAGTTTTTCAAGGGGCATTCTGTCTGCCTGATATGACCTCATAGCATATATATGTATACATATATTTGTGCTGATAAATCATTAGACCTCCGAAGTAAACTGTTTTTAATTAATTGAATAAGGTAAGCCAGAGATGACATCACAATAAATCTACAATGGCAAAAGGAGTGGCTGTAAGAATGTTGATCTGGATTCAGGTGATGGTTGCTTTGGTTTGCGGCCCCATCTCGTGACTCGACACGATGATCTAATGTCTTTCGTTCGGCTTTGATTGCTTAACTCAGAACTGGCGCAGACGGGTAAATAATTGATGCCTCACTTAATTCTTGCAGTCATCGTTTCGTATCTTCCTTTTTATATGTATTTCGTAATAATTGTCTTGTTTTACACTGCATATGTGCTAATGCTGGAAGTGGCAAGAAGCATCCTACCGTGTAGGATTAATTAAATTCTGAATACTAATTAATGATCAGGTATTTGACAACGTTTACTGCCATGATAGTTCAATTCTTTCAACTTTCACTTGACTGACTTGATCTACAAAGCGTTTTTTGATCTTGTTATTTTAAAAACTTGTAAAATGTAATATTTTATGTTCATTATCATTTAAGTATATTATCACTAATTATCCATTAACTGTTGCCTTTATTGATTGCACGATTTTGGTTGAAGAAGGATGAAAGTTTCTGGCAAAATCCAGTTCCAATTATTTGGTGCCATTAGCATTATGAGTAACATCAAAATTAAATGTTCCTTTCCCATATATTGCTCATGTCGTCAGGGTTCTTAGACTATAATATATTTGTTAATAATTAATTTTTACTGAAAATTACAGGTCTGTAAATTTGAATTCTGGATGAACCATCATTTAAATCACACTTCAGAGCGTTGTCAAAAATTTACGCTGCAGCCCAACTGTTCATTATTTTTTTCTAAAATAATACTCGAGTTTGTTTTTTATGAGTTTTTTCTTCCATGGATTTGAGAAGATGCTTGAAAATAAACAGAAAGCACAGTCAGAAGTCTTCTGTATGATCATGCAGAGTTAATTAGTTTTATTTATCTAAGCTGTGATATCTGTATTTTCAGGTCACATTTGATTCTTTGAAATTTTTGACCAATTTTCACTTTATGCTCGCGAAGATTTGGACATTAAAGGGACAATACTGTACTTTTCACAGCACCATCTTTTGTTTCTGCGGGAAATTTTTGACTTTGCTGTCTTTTCTAATAATTTTACCGTTTTCATGCATAGCTTGGATTAGAATCACTGTTTGAGACTTGTCCTCTGGTCGATGCCTTCCATTTCTGGTTCATCGTCGCCTGATCGTCAATATAGAACACCTGTGGCGCCTTCCACGGGCTTCAGCGGCACTTCTGGCCACGATGACACGTGAGCGTGTAGTCTTGCTAATTGTTCTTCTCTATAGATTTTCACAACTATTTTTAGCTTGTCGTCGTCAGGTTACAATGACGGGAATTTTAAACGACCTTGCCCGTATACCGGAAGAAGCACAGTACTGACCTCAACGCCCATAAGACCTCCTTCTGGTCATCGAACGGCGTTTACAAACAACAACGGTACTTCACGTTCGGGCTCGCCTTGGTCATCGTCAAGTTTGTCAAGGTAATTGTTTTGGACGCTTGAGTGAAAAAGAATGTTTCTATAAGTCTGTTTCAGTTATTCATCGTCTTTCAGCAAGGTTAACTTCAGACCTCCAATGCCGCAAAGAGGCCCAATTCCACACTTTTCCCGCTCAGAACGGAGGGTACCAACATCCGGCAGGTAGTTGATTTCTTGTTTACTTTCATTTTTGGTACTATCATTTGTAAATTGTCCACCTCTAATGGCTGCTCTTCATCACTGGGAGCTGGCAGCGACGAACATCAATCAGTTACTAACGAGTCAGTGGTGTTCACGATATGACAGGCATGTGTAAGTCTTGGAGGAAATTAAAGTAGACGTCTTCAACGTATTTCAGAACTTGCAGTACAAAATCATCACTAATCCTGAATTACCTCTTGTTGATCACGAATGATATTATTGAACCTGTTGCTAATTGTATGTTGTAATTCCCGGAAGGCCAGATTTCACATGAAATATCACGTCTGCGAGTGAGCAAGAAATCACTTTATCGAATAAAATTACACGAGATACCTCCAACACTGTGGATACTCAGATACAGTGGAGTCATGATCTACTTATACTATCGCTTAGGCAACTCAACCAGGATTATGGAATCGGTTCATTATGTTGTAGAATCTGGTTTTGGAGAAGTTATGCATTAATTGTACACATTGTTGGTTCGCAAGTAGAAGGAATTCGTGTTTGAAAATGTATTTTCGCTATTCCCATATGGCAGCTAATGTTTGAGCCGTTGAAGGAGCAGGCACTGAATTCAACAGGCTAACGACGGCGCTACTACATAAGTTCTCATATTATTACCGATTGCGTACTTTGAGTCCATACGATATGACGTAGAAAATGGCTGTTCCAACCGGTAATTTTGTATTCACAACAGAAAATTACTTTTCACTGCTTCGATGTCTTTGCATGATGTTCAGATAATTTCACGGTAGTATGGAGACTTGAGTGCAAATATATTTTCTTCATATCGTAGGAAAACAGAAAATTTCTGTACGTTGAGGCGATAGTTTCCATTGTTTTATCATGTTGGGTTCTATATGTTATACCCTTTTTCCATAGAAATTCTTATATAGCGGTGATACTAATCTACGTTTCGGTGCCATCAATAAGAAGTGACAGAAACACTGTATCTACAGCTATGTGGCAAACTCAGCATGTAGTTTTGACTTTTTCCCCTAAGTGGTTTTTGTTTATTTATGCCAGAATAGTGAAAGGCGAGTGATGACTTCCCTGACATTCGAACTCAAGATCATTCCGACTGAGCATCTGACACTCTGACCATCTGACAATTCATCATAGGTTTCATCATAAGGTAGGTTTCATGATAATTGGATTATCCTGTGCTTTCATTAGAGACACATACAAATGATAGTTCCAAATCGATTTATCCAATCTGGAAACCATTTAGCTTTTATATTCTATACATATTTAGTTGATGCGATAAAAACATGTCAGGGTTTATTGATACATCCTTATTAAGTGGTTATTTTGAGGCTTGCATCATGTGAAAATACACCGTATCACATAACACTTAAGGTCTTAACTCATCCAAAACCAGTTAGGTATTGTACCACCGCTTGCAAAAGATATTTAGAGGGCATTTGAACAAGTTGCAATATGATGTTTGAGCACATGTTAAACACCATTTTATTGGCTGAAGAAAGACCATGGTCATACATTAATTCAAATCTGGTCTCAAGTTCAACTCACTGTTCGCAATGCACGACGTGGACGCTGATATTAAATTTACAGAAAGTGTATTAACGCATTGCTGACGTATTTAGCGATGGCCAACGCGCGACTATCAACCAGAAATACAGTGTTCCTGATTCAGCAAGAGATTCGTTGAATAGATCTCTCACGGGATCATCGCACGCAGTCAGAAATCATGTCATAGCTGGTACCACTGATTGATTACAAGTTAATTTTTAGTTATTCACCTCATCTTACCTTATAGCCGTTGTTGAAGGACGAGGTCACGCCAAAGGAGAAATTGGCATGGCTTATATTGACCTGTACCACCCAGAACTGGGCCTGGTCCAATTTTCAGACACGGCGGCTTACTCAAAGTTGCGGATCAAATTGCAGGCCATCAATCCAGTTGAAGTAACCCATTTGTAGTTGAATTAGTGTTATTTTGTATAATAATTTTCTGCGTTCACCCCATTAATACCTTTTTAGCTAATTTTGCCCGATACCGCTGTGGAAAAAGGCGGAAATATGCTGGCATTGTTTTACTGTCTTCAGGATGAATTTCGCCATATGCAGATCACCCCAGTTAGCCGCAAAATGTTCAACGAATGTCGAGGCATTGGTACGATAAATCGTTTGAAAACTGCTGATTGTACGACGGTAGAAAAAGATATGAACGGAAAGTAATGAGCGATAGCCAGCAATTTTCACGCGCATTTGTTAATTATATGATGTTGCGCTTGAATTTTGCACATAGCAGCAACGGGGGATACACATTATGCTGATCATCACATTGAATAAGCGGTTTTCAGGTAGATAAGGGAAAATTTTAGCCCTATAAGGCGCTGACATCAGGTAACATGCCCTATCGTGTTGCCTGTTCTGGTATGACCGTATTTGAACACCACGATGCTCCTGTTACTCGTTTGTCGGCAACTTGTATTCCGTTTCTCGAAGAAATACACTTCGGCCTGTGGGGTAAACTCTTAGTGTACGGGAATTCGCGTTTCAGGCAAAGATTGTCCCTCTTCTTATTCGAACCCGGCACCTCTGGATTTCGAAGATGATCTGTTTGTCACTCTGCCACCTCGATCCTTGTGCATGATTCCTTTATGCGAAGAGTATTATTATCTTTTGAAATGTCTTAAATGGGCAAACATTGCATTAAAGCTTTACTTGTATACATTTTACTTGAAGCAGGTAAGGTTTGAGATCAAACTCAGTCCATTTTCAGGGTTATAGTCAATTTTTACGGTTTTATTTTCCTGCGGGTCGACATGAAGCGCGTGATTGATGGTTTCGTGTTTGTCATTAGTCATTGGTGACCGTTTGATGGTTCCGATGCATGTGTGGCTGTCGTCTCGATTGATGTAGTCAATTTCACGGTTAATTGCACGTTTCCTTCATAAGTTTTATCTTTCCCGTGAAATTACGTAGTTTCAGTCAAAATACTTTGTATAATGTGGCGGTTATTGTCTCACATTTCGCTTTGACAGCTTTTCAAACCTTTGTTTGCTTTCTTCTTTTGCCTGTTTTTCTAGAAATCCTTTAGCAGTTTTCGTTTAATTCCGGGCTTGATTTCACGGCATATTTGCAACGTTCCTTTTTTTCCCTAGATGCCTCAGAGGCTATTTATGCCAGAAACTGTGCCCTGGCAACCAGGTTTTACATGCACCATTGCATATAAAACTGTACACTGAGATAATACGGCTGGTATTCCTGGATAGCGGATAAGAATGACAATCTCTGGTAATTTCTCCGGATTCACACAACATGAAGTCCCCCCCCCGCTTCCCCCACTTGCGAAGGCGCGGAGGAGGAAGGTCAATTTTTTGTATTGTGTGCCTACAGATAATGAGATTTCAGTTGCTATCTGAAACTTACCAAATCGAGTTGATGCATGAACTTGACAACTGTTGTTTTTCTTCTTATGAAGGTGGTTTGTCTCCATCGTTAGTGTCGTGTAGTACACTGTTTCCAAGAACGACAGTGCTATCGGTCTGCTATAGAAAATACTGAGTCAAAGAGCATTCAGTTGCCCAAGTAATTGGATCCATAGAAACTCGCGGGTGTTCTGCATCCAGCGGCGAGACATTCATGGTGATTTCGTCGTATGTGATCGGCAAGCCGTCGATATTAAAATTTTACGTCATCGTATTATTTTGCTACCTAATGGTTTTTTTGCCTCGTTGTTTCTCTAAATTATTATTTTATTATTTCTTATCATTATTTTATAGGTACTACTGTTTGTCATGTGCTGCTGCTTTAATCGAGTACGTAGAACATATTCAAAACATAATATTTGCTCCAAAATCTGTCCGTGTCAAATACCGAGGAACTGAGAAAACGATGCTTTTGGGTAATTCACTCAAGTTTGGGAATAAGCATAAGTTACAAGTGTAAAATATGTTTCAGTCAGTAGGAGATTAACCAAGTAATTAAAAGAATAACGCAGTAAATATTTCATT